ACTCTGAGGGGTTACAGGGTAGCTCTTCCCACCACCAAAGTAGGAGGACCAGAGATAGGATCAAGAAAGCATCTTCAGTTGGATTTAGGCAGCTTATTAAATGCTGATGATTTTCCTCAAAGCTAATCCAGAAAAATGGAAGCAATGGGCCTAACTCACTGTGAAGCAAGCAAATCCATGGTTTTGTAGATTTGACTTGAAAAACCATTCTTTTTTTTAAATTACATTTTAGGTTTTGGGGTACATGTGAAGAACATGCAAGATTGTTACATAGGTACACACATGGCAGTGTGATTTGCTGCCTTCCTCCCCATCACCTATATCTGGCATTTCTCCCCATGCTCTTTCTCCCCAATTCCCCACCCCTCCATCCCTCCCTTATTTCCCCCCACAGACCCCAGTGTGTGATGCTCCCTTCCCTGTGTCCATGTGTTCTCATTGTTCAACACCCACCTATGAGTGAGAACATGCGGTATTTGATTTTCTGTTCTTGTGTTAGTTTGCTGAGAATGAAGGTTTTCCAGGTTCATCCATGTCCCTACAAAGGACACGAACTTATCAGAAAAACCATTCATTCTTATAGATGAATATCAAAAAAGAAAAGGATCAAATGATGTGAGAATCTAGGGAAAAAACAGTAAATTATGGAATATTTCATGGAGGTAGGAATGAAAAATAGAAAAGGTAATCTACAAGAAAAGAATTTGGTCTCTTCCAGTGGGAACATATCATTTGGAGGCTTTTTATGTTTGCAATTTTTAAGGACAGAGATGCTCATTATGAATGTGTCTGTGTGTTTGGGCTTGGACAGCCTAAGACTTTGTAAATAAGGAGGCTTAGGAGTAGTAATGTGATTAGAAGTGGGCTTGAAGAGATTGGGATTGCTAAGGAATTTGTTTTGAAGTTGTATTGCCTGGTAAACATAATGTTTTTACTAAGATTTTGTGTTTATTGGGGTGGCTTTGCTAGCATCCTCCTGCTCCATTTCAAGCTATGCTCTTTAGAGTTGTGCTTTTAAACCTTTGAACACTGCCCACATGAGGTATAAATGTGTTAGCCCAAACTATGTATATCTGTTGCCATGAGCTAATGACAAATGTAATATACAATAATACACATGTCTAGAAAGTAGGAAGTTCTATATAAGTAAGGGAAATGGATTGCTTTTATTATTATAAAAAGCTTTTATTATAAAGAGAGCCATTATGTCATCTGCCTTATTTTGAAACCATTCACCTTTTATTACTGTAAATTTTGCAATGCCTCATTTTCTCTCCAGCTATCCTCTAGTCCAGTTAACTCAGCAAGCACAAGTTTATGATGAATCATTTTAGCAACCGAAAATTTTTAATGGTTAGCCATGGCAGTCATGTTGTGTAAGAATCTAACTACTTTTAAGTAAAAGGAGAAAGTTCAAAATATAACTCCATCTTTACAAGTGCTTTCATTAAAAACAATCTTATTATGAAAAACAAATTAAAAAAAAAAAGAAAACTCCCATTGATGGATGGTTTTGCAATTTCTTGTTTTGCCTGGATGTATCGAAGGATTTAGAATTTAATATTTGGGGTGTGCCTTAAGCTGCAAGACTCCCTGACTTTATTCTCATCTAGGAATTTTTGCTGCTACAGACAACTGACAGCATGCAGATCCATACTCTATCTCTTAAGATGTTCCTTTGGAACTGATTCCAAATGAAACTTCTTAGGGAAGATGTGGCTAGAAGCTGGTTATGCAAAGCATGTCTATAGCAAAGCAGGTCAGAAAGGATGAGGGTCGAAAAACTAGTTACAAAATTTAGGGGAGACATTAGATTTAAATAAACTATTCTCCAACCTCAGTGATTAATTTTTCCTTTTTTGATCATCTGGCTGTGTACTTAGAGAAGACTCAGTTCTCTGAAAATGGATTACTTTGAGTATTCTCTGCAATAATTTAATATTGTGCTTCTTTCTTTGCCAATTGCCTGTTGCTAAGCCACCAACACTTACTGTCCTTAGGAAGGCCTAATATACAATAATCGACATTGTGGAAGGCACATGTATGTACATAAACTTTAACTGGGAAGTTGTCTTTAAATAAAAATGACACAATGCACTCCAAAGCTGTGTGTGATTACAAAATGAGAAGCTGACAAACTATTCACATTTATCAAGTAAAGCCTCAGAGAAATATTATGTTTTCACCACTAGGTGGAAATAGAGTAATTTTGAGTATATTTTTTCAAGGCCATGAACTACTACTGCAGGAGTATTTCATAAACTGAAAGGGACCTAAAAAAATCATTTAGTTTTAATTCTCATCTCCTTAACTTCATAGGTGATAAAACTAAGATTCAGAGATAGTAAGTAAAATTGCATCTGTTTTTAAAAAGGCAGTTTTCTAAGCCACTGGAAGAAGAGTTGCTAGTAACTCTTGATTCTGCAGTCATTTTCATTCATAAGGAGAATGTGTTATTATCTTCCACTATGAGGGAAGACATGATATAACACCTGTATTACCTATGTGTTACTGAAAATAATGACCAGCACAGTTACTAAGATTTGTAAGGACAGGTTAGGATAAAACTATTGTTTCTTGTTTCCCATATTGTAATTAATCACAATCAAGTGATAATTCTCCTTCTTTCCAACATGGAAATACTCAACCATCCCCTTAAAGTTACATGAGACTTCAATGAAATTTGTTTTCACAACATTTTTGGTTTTACACCTCATAATGGGTGCAAGGTAAGAAGGCTTTTACTTTGCAGGTGAAGGGAGTACTTACTGCTTTTTCAGAGCTTAAAATCCATTACCATTATTCTTGAGAAGGAAAGAGAATCTGAGTAGTAGAGCTTAAGGGGCATTAGGAATAATCTACTCCAATCATACATCTGTATATTCATCAGATGAGGCATCTGAAAACAAGACATTAAATGTGTTTCCCTGAAGAGCAGAGCAATCCCTATGCCCTTCTTTGTTCCACAAGTCACAATAACAGTTATTATTTTGGCCTTATATCTTTGTTTTGTCCGTGCCGTTTAACACAAAAGGATTATTACCACCTCGAAGACTGTGTAAAAAAAACAAACAAACAAAAAAAAACAAAAAAAACCTTAAGTTTTGGGTAAGGCCTTGAGGTTAAAGGCTGTTTCTTAAGTACCTAAGTATTGAGTACTCCAGTGTCATTCTCTTTTTGATATTTCTGTAACATGTTTGATTATGATAATTTAAAAATTAGTATCAGAGTGCTACATCCTGACTATTATTACTATATTCTACACAGAAATGGATAAAAAATGTTGAAATGACACATTAGCTCAAGTTCAAACACACAGGAGCTCCCTCCCTAGCAGTTGCCTTAAGTGCCTGGGAGCCAGCGTTTTCCATCACTGAGCAAATGATGCACTCAGCTTCCCTCCGAACACAAATGTTTTCTGAGCAGTAGAATTTAATATTTAGGGTGTGCCTTAAGCTGCAAGATTCCCTGACTTTATTCTCATCTGGAAATTTTTGCTGCTACAGACAACTGACAACATGCAGATCCAATACTCCATCTCTTAAGATTTTCCTTTGGAACTGATTCCAAATGAAACTTTCTTAGGGAAGATGTGGCTAGAAGCTGGATATGCAAAGCATGTCTATAGCAAGGCAACCCAGAAGGAGCGAGGGTCAAAAAAGTAGTTGTAAAATTTAAGGGAGACGCTAGGTTTAAATAAACATATTCTCCAACCTCAGTGATTAATTTTTTCCTTTTTTGATCATCTGGCCATGTACTTAGAGAAGACTCCGTTCTCTGAAAATGGACTACTTTGAGTATTCTCTGCAATAATTTAATTGCAGGTGTGGGACATGTAGACCCTTACTGGGAAAATAATTGAGTGTTAATGTGGTACCACAAGGAAGACTGGGGTGATTCTAAACTTAGGGCAGGGACCGGTAACTGTGGTTTCTACTCAGAGCTCCATCACAGCTACCCTGGGCCCGAGGCAGTCAGGTGTGGTCCTATTTCATAAGGTCTTCAGTGAGTCGGACCTGGATGGGGATTCTGGTTCTACCACTGTGCGAACTTTCTTTGCCCTATTTTCTCTTTTGAGAAATTGGGGTAACACCCCTAGCAAAAATTTAGTGGAGGTCAATATCAATAAAGTGCCCAGGAAGCAAAACTGGCACTTAGTAGCTACTCAACAAATGCACATTATCTCTATCGAAACGGCCAGCCTGTGTGGCAACTTCCTCATCACAGTCCAGCTCACCTCCAGCTGGGACCCGGTAGCACCAAGTAATAAATTGCCAAAAGTACACTTTGAAACGTATTATATTCTACGCACATGCGTAGGGTATTACTACAATTTAAGAGAAAGAGAAAATCCGCCGGCGTCTGAGAAGAAACCGTTAAGGGTGCATTACGAAGGGAATATAAACTAATAAAACATTCTTGAACGGCAATGACAATCACTGAAGTTGACACTTTCTACAGACTTTTAGTTTAGAAACCGCACTTCCCGAGACGTCCCCCATCCCAACAGCCACTTCTCATAAAATCCTCTAGCTCAACTCAGGGATATGCCCACTTTTGGGCCAGGAAGATCAGCGGATGGGGAGAGCGGGTTCTCTAGGGAGGGTGCGGAATGTGGGTTTGTCTGCTGACAAGGAGTAGAAGGTCAGGGAGGCACCGTAGTTAATCAATCAATAAACCCAACAGCCATCAATCACTTCCTGTAGTCCCAGCCCGGCGAGGGCTAATCGATTGTTCTGGGTATTTTGAAAGGAAAAACGGCGGTGGATAGGCTGTCAAACGTAGGGGCCCAGGAGCGGCGGGGCCGGGCCTCCAGGTGCCCCCTCTGGCTTCCTGGGCCTGCAGAGGCGCCGAAACGTGCAGGCGCCGGCGTCCAAGAGGCGTGGGGCGCGCCGGGCGAGCCCCTGCTTGCAGGAGGCGCCCGCGAGGCCTTGACGTCCCCTGGCGAGAGTAGCAGGTTAGCACCTCCAGGCCCGGGGAAGGCCCGGGGGGCCCACGGCGGGCGGGGCGGGGGCCGGGCGAGGCGCGCCTCCTATTGGCCGCGTGGCGCCGCCCGCACAGGCAGCTCTTAAAAAGCCCCGCCGGCGCCCGGAGCCGCACTGCACGCTACCCGCGCCGACCCCGCTCTGCCAGCTTCGCACGCCCACCCGCGCCCACCATGGCCACAGTTCAGCAGCTGGAAGGAAGATGGCGCCTGGTGGACAGCAAAGGCTTTGATGAATACATGAAGGAACTAGGTGAGGCGCCTGGCCTGGCAGCGCCTGCAACGTGGCGTGTGTGTGGCCGTCTGTCCCTAGGTCCCAGTCAACGTGTCAGGATTCCGGGGCAGGAGATGCTCGGCGGCCTACCCCCAACCCCTCCTATCTTCCCCACCACGCGGCCCTTGGGTGCAGCGCGCGCAGCACCACGCGGGCAGGCGGCGAGGAGCCGGGAGCGTGCGCGCCCCCTGCCCGCCCGCGGGGCCGCAAGATTCCGGAGACGGTCCACCTCGTGGTCCACCCACCTCTCTTCTGCTTCTTTCCCCTCTCCCAAAAGGCAGCCACTCCGCATTGTCTCCTGTCTTTTAGCGCGCGCACCCTTCACCCCACGCTGCACTTTTTTCGACCCCCTCCAGGCGACCCACTGTTTCCCCATTTTCCCCGCTTCACTCATCCTTCCCCTTCCTGCCACCATCCTGTCTCTCCCGTTTACGCCATCGTGGCAGCACCCACTCCCCTTTCCCACCCTGTCGTATCTTTTGTTTCTCTATGGCGTGCAGGTCCCCCTCCCTTTTCCTCCTGGGGACTCGATGCTGGCGCGCGTTTTCCCACAGAAATCCCTTAGTGAGTCTGAGCGGCTCTACAGCTTCAGCTTGTATTCCTCTGTCCGCCCCATCTCCCCCCAACTCCTCTGCTCGTTCTCACCAGTTGAGCCCAACCTTTTGGGTTGACACCCCATGGAACACCGGGGCCCCCGAGAGGCGTGGCGCTGGCAGTGCCGACCTGCTGCTGGCACTGCCGGGCAGGGGCGTCGCAGTGGGCGGGTGGCCTGTGGGAGGAAGGGAATGAGGCCGACTGTGCCTGGGGGTGGCCTTGTGTTGCCTTCCTGGCCTCTGCCTCTTGAGGGTGAGGAACAAGGAGGCAGTGGGGCTTTGCTGGAAAACCGTAACAGTAACTGCCTAGCCTTCCTGCAGCTAACTGCCTGCAAGATGGGTGTGGCCCTGGAGAAGGCCCTGCAGAACGCTTCTTGAAGCATTCCCTGGGAGAAGAATCTCAGTAGGGAGATTAATTTCTCTCACTCAAAACAGTGCTTCATTATAAATTACTGCCCTTTTCTATGCCACTGACAGAGATTGCGTGCTGGTTGAGACATTGGATAGATTGCAAACAAAAATGGACCTTTGTCACAGGCCTCTAGGAAGTGAAATGGAGTTAGCATAGCATGGATCCTCTCTGGAAGGGAGCTTCCAGCGCTAAGGGACTGCTGGGACTTATGACGGTGCTTCAGAAGCCGGTATCCGCAAATGTTAACCTGGTTGCTCGCTGGTGAAATAACTACTGTGACCCTCTACTGATACCCAGTCACTGTGGCACTTCAGAATCACTCCTTCAGTACCCTTTATCCAAGACAATGTGGTGTTAAGGCTGGTTTATGGTGAATATGAGTGTATTTATGATACTATCAGTAAAGTAAGAAGGCAGTATTTTTCTTTTTCCTTGTAAACCTACATCAAGATGACTCTGGAAAAAGCGATTTACTGCACCTGTCCAATAAATACAGTGTATGGGTATGTGCACAAGTTTAAGGCCAGAGAACACTTTTCTCTGCCAGTAGAAAGCAAGTTATGTTTAGGTTTGGAGGTCTTGTTTCCAGGATTCTGGAATCTTGAAGGTTGTCAAGACTCAGTTCATTAGGGAGCAGTCACCATGTAAAAAGAGCAGAGCCATTTATTTGTCCAAAGTGAAAGTACATAATGACTCAACAGCATAAGGCACCAGCCCTGAGCTGGCAAAAGAGAAGGTTCCAAGGGGAATTTTAAAGCCTGGCTGAGTGTTCTTCATCAAGATAATCACGCTGCATAGGTTGTAGTCTCCTTATTTATGAAACAGTGATTTGGCCTGGATCTAAGTTTCCTTATATATGTTAACTCTCAGGGGAAATAGATAGATCATAAATTAATATATAATTTAATATGATATTTTGTAAACGCCTAAATCAATTACTATATTGACTTATACAGCTATGAAATGTTTTTTATATTCAAGGGTAAGATTTTGTTTTCCATTTGTTAGCATCATGATTGTGCTGCTGACTTTTAAAAGATTGTGCTATTGAATATCTCAGAATCAATTTCTATTTTGTGTAGTCTATTAATCAAATATTTATTGAGAGTATTGATATGCCAGACAGACTATGTGCTGGAGTCATAGAATGTAATGGTTGGCAGAATCCAGTAAAAACAAAAAGACCAAGCAAACTCCTGAATTTGCAGTTTTGAATCCTTTATCTCCACCTTCTATCAACTGCTTTGAGTAAATAAAATTTGGAAGTCTGCATTTCTTTGCAAACTTTCTGAAAACACGCATAGCATGGTGGCCAAGAGGTCAGATTTGGAGCCAGGGTGCCAGTGCTCTTGGTTCCCAGCTCTGTCACTTCCTAGTTGAGCAGTCTCAGGTAAGTTACTTCAGTGCCTCACTTTCTTATCAATAAAATGGGGATAATAACATCTGCCTCTTACAGGGCTGTTGTAAGGCTTACCTGAATTTAATCTATGTAAAGTGCTGGCTCATAGCGTGAGATATGTGTTTACAATAGTTATCAATAAGCAAATAAGTGAAAATATGCTGTACAAAGTGATTACAATGGAATTACTGCTTTTATCATGTAAATGATGTCTTCCCATTATTTAACATGACTTAACATTCTACAGGAGTGGGAATAGCTTTGAGAAAAATGGGCGCAATGGCCAAGCCAGACTGTATCATCACTTGTGATGGCAAAAACCTCACCATAAAAACTGAGAGCACTTTGAAAACAACACAGTTTTCTTGTACCCTGGGAGAGAAATTTGAAGAAACCACAGCTGATGGCAGAAAAACTCAGGTCAGTCATGACATGTTATAAAATCACAGAAACTTCTAGAATGCTAGGCTATATTAACATTTTTACTGTTTATAGGCAAGAACTTAATGAAAAAGTTATTTTATGAATTGAGTTTTATCAAATTAGTAAAAGTATCAACTTCATAGAATTAGCATTTTTTATTAGCTACTAGATTGAAAACCACAAACTATTGTGACTAAAATCAATACAGGTTAATGACGTAGGCTCAGAAAGCAGAAGGTGAAAAAAAAATGTTGATTAAAGAGGTTATGAGTCACAGAAACTCTTGTAATGTACTTGGAAAATTAAAAAGTTTACTTCATTTTTGCAGACTGTCTGCAACTTTACCAATGGTGCATTGGTTCAGCATCAGGAGTGGGATGGGAAGGAAAGCACAATAACAAGAAAATTGAAAGATGGGAAATTAGTGGTGGTAAGTGTTACACAATTGTGTCTTAGTTGGCTTCTTGTGTGCATTCATAGTTCACATAACTGTTCTATGTCATTGATCATTAACAGAACTAAGTTTGGGAAGAAAATAAGGCAAAATAGCAAGTTAAATACTAGAACACTGATTATTAAGAAAGCCCTAGTGGGGACAAAGAAGTGACATGACATAGAGGATTTGGCTGGAGCGGGGGCGGGGGAGTTCTTGCTTTGCTGCCATACCACAGTGAAATCCTGGCAAGCCACCAAACTGCTCTCTTAGGCACACATTTTTCTATATCTTTAAAATAAGGAATATTTGCCATGACCAAAAGAATAAAGATATATTCAACATGTTAGTTTTCAGTAAAACATGCATATTATTGGCAAAACAACAGCTTCTAGCATCTCTCAAACCCATGAATCCTGAATCTCCATCTATGAAGTAGATTACATGATTTCATAGGACACTGATTCTAATGTTTTAATACCACCACTGCTCTGGAATGTAAGACTAACCTAACTTTTTAATGTCTTTCCTTCTCCTAGGACTGTGTCATGAACAATGTCACCTGTACTCGGATCTATGAAAAAGTAGAATAAAAATTCTATCATCACTTTGGACAGGAGTTGACTATGAGAATGAACAAGCTCAGTTCAATGAGCAAATCTTCATACTATTGTTTCTTTCTTTTTTTTCTCATTACTGTGTTCATTTATCTTTATCACAAACATTTTACATGGAGCTATTTCAAAGTGTGTTGGATTAATTAGGATCATCCCATTGGTTAATAAATAAATGTGTTTATGCTAATACATGTTGTATGCATTCTTTAAACCTTACAGGAAATTAGTGTTGAGTTTTAATAATTATTGAGTAAATGCTGGGGTAACCTTGAGGATGCCATATTGAGATGACACTAGCAGTTTATAAAGATAGCTACTCTTACAGGAAATACTATATCACTCATTTAAGCTTGCTCTATACTGTTTGAACTTTGTATGAACTCAAGAATCTTGAATTTCTGGCAGAGACCGTTCTCATTAAAATGTAGCTACTACTCTTTATGATTCAAATTAGAGCAAAGGTTTAACTAACCACCATTGACTAAAATACTTTTTGTGTTTTTATATATAAATGTAGATAATATACTATGTATGGAATAACTAGGATTCTAGTGAATCTCTATTCTATTTCTCTATCCCCAACACAAATATCCATAGTTCACATTTGAAGAAGCAAGCTGTTGGCCCTGAGCTAAAGCTTTGCATAAATGATCTTTAGGGCTACTGTCAAAGGACTGGTATGATTATGTCCATTCTGCAACTAAGAAAACAGGTTTTTGACTAGCTAACCAGTTCAAGGACAGGAGGTAGTAGAGCTGGATTAATGACCTATATCTCATCAAGTCTACCCAATGTGTTCAGTCATTCTACAACACTGCCTCTTTGCAGCTTGTACAGAGATCTTTAGGTCTAAAGTCCTTAAATGTATTAATTGAGACTTCTGAAACCACCCTCTATGTGCAGAAATGTTAACTGGTAGGCATTTTTTCTTAAGAATTACCCGTAGCTAGCAGTCAGTGGAAGTGTTCAACTCACTGATACTCTAGTCCTGTGCTGTCCTATATGTAGCCATGAGTCACATATGGCTATTGAACCTTTGAAGTGTGGCTAGTCTGAATTGATATGTCTATATGGGATTTCAAAGGCTTAGTACAAAAAGTAAAATGCCTTATTAATGACTTTTTGGTATTGATTGCATATTAAAATAAATACAGATTAGTAAAGTTAATTTTGCCCATTTACTTTTTAATGCAGCTAGGGAAAATGTAAAAATTGCATGTATTTTCATTTTTGTGCCATATTTTTTAATGGACAATGTTGTTTGCGACTTCCTTTCTATGTGAATTTCAATCTTGCTTGTTTCAGTATTTAGGGTTCTTCTTTCATCCACATTTTCTGCTTCTCATAATCATGTACATTTATTGACATTCTCCTGGAACCAAACACTGGGCCGCACACTTTAAAGTGTTTTATTAATTCTCAGAGCCATCCTAGATGATGTACATTCACTATGGTTTTTCCACATTGTGTAGATCAAGAAACTAAGGTCCAGAGTCTAGGTAATGATCCCAAGCCATACAACTACTACAAGTCAGAGAGCAGACTGGAGCACAAGTTTAGCTGATTCTACAACCTGTGCTATGTTAGCTGCCATGTTCTCATACCTATACTGCTTCAGATTATGGGCTGGAATATCACCTGAGGGACATTAAGCTCATGTTCCTTATATGGGGAAGCCATTGACATTTGGATTGGGCTGTGGCAAGCATCATAGGACCTTTAGCATGTCATCCTAAGATCATGGCCATAAAATGTCCATGGCACCCACCAGCCTACCCTAAACACTTAGTCCATTTTCAGGTGTCATTTAAGGGCATGGCTCCCTACCTAGTTAAGAACCACTGGGTAGGACAAGGGTATCTCAACCTCACGGTATCTGTTGTCATTAAAGCTCTTCCTTCTGCTAAGCAATTCTTTAGGGATTGACCCGTCATCAAAAGACCTAAAACCAGGGCCATTGAAGATGAGTTTCTATTGCCTCTTAACTAATGGTATGCTGGAATGCATTATTTTTAGTTCTACAACACACAGGATTTCAGGGAAGTTCGCTTTTATTACAGATCTATCAGATCCGATTTCTTTTGCTTCAATGTTTAGTTGCCAGTAACCTACTAGACAATACCCTATGAATGAATGTCTCATTTCAAACTAGTTTAGTTTTTCTAAAATGTAGTGTGACAATTTAAGTACTTGGGGTGTGCAGGCAGACAGTCCTGGGATCCAATCCTGACTCTAATAATTGTATGACTTAGGGTAAGTTATTTAACTTTGCTGAACAATAGTTACCCTCTTTGTAAAAAGATACATTACCTGAATCATAGAGTTGTTTTAAATATTAAATTTGGCAATGCATGTGAAGCACTTAGCACAGGATCCATAATATAGGAAGGGCTTAATGTCCCACAAGCACTGCCCAATATAACTTTATGTGACATGGAAATGCTCTTTAATATCTGCACTGTCCACTAAGGAAGCCACCAGCCATAAGCGAGTATTGAGCACTTGAAATGTGGTGAGTGCAACTGAGGAACTGAATTTTAATTTAATTTTTATTAACTAAAATGTAAATTTAAGTACCCACATGTAGTTAGTGACTATTAATTTGGACAGCATGGGATGTTTCCAAAATTGAAATTCTTACATTTTAAAATTTCAAACCTGTTCCTCTTGCGGTATTCTCCCTCTCAATTCATGGGAATGTCGCTTTTCCAATGTTCAGGCTAAATGTCTAATCTTTGATTCTTTCTTTCCCATATTATATCTAATCCATTAGCAAATTATTTGTTTTGCCATCAGAATGTTTCTATAATTGAATTGTTTTTCCCTCTTTCACAGATACCACCTCATTCAGATATCACCATCATCTCTCCCCTTCTCTGCCATTTTGCACCTTTATCCTCCCAAAGCTGTCATTTAAAACACAGGTTAGAACATGTCATTCCTCTGTTGAGAACCCTCCACTGGCGTCTCATTTCACTAGGAGTAGAAGCTAAAATCTTGGCAGAGTTTCTATCTGACTTGCCTGTGCCTTCCACCTTCCCAGCGCCCCATCCTGATTTCATCTCCTGCAGCTGTCCACTCAAACCCTTCCTCAGACTTCTGCCAATGTTCATGCAAATGTGCTCTTGCCTCAGGGCCTTTGCACCTGTTTCCTCAGCCTGAAGCACTCTTCCCCACGCAGGCTGCAGCCCACACTTTCTCCCTTCCTTAGAGTCTCTTCCTTCAAGGCCACCCTAGCAGTGAATCATTCCCAGACCACATGATGTATCAGAGCTGCCACTCCTCCCTCACATTCCCAATTCCCCTAAGCTGCTTTATTTTTCTTCATAGTCCTCACCTTTAACATCAATGCTGACTATCCATTTAATTGTTTTATTTCTTAATTTTTTGGTTATTATCTGTCTCCTCAATAGGAAGTAAGTCTTATGAAGAAGGGACTTTGTTTCTACCAGTGCACTCTCTGTCTCTCTAGCACACAATTAGGGGAGAACTTGACATACAAAAGATGCTCCATATATGTTTGTTAAATGAACAAATATTTAATAAATTAATGGATTCTTGACATCTATTTTACACATTTTTATATTATTTAAGACCAGTTATGATATTGCTTCAATCAACTTTATTTATTAAAACCATATTCTTACCTTCATACATGCCATTCAACTTTAATCAGGTCTCTTACCCCAGAAGTGGTGTGCTTGATGACTGTGGGATAACGATGTTTAAAATAGGAAGTAAGGAATCTAGCCTTGCTTCCAAACTGGTATGTAATGACACTCTGGCCTACCAAAAAATAGGCAAAAAAAAAAAAAAGCGCACTACTACTGGGGTAAGTTTTGATCAGTGTATACAATTTATTTTACTGCAGCCCGACACTCTGCTAACAGGCAATATCTGTCAAGCAGAACTGGACCTGAGGTGTTTGTGGAACATGGTGCAGATTAATCTGATTTGCTATAAGAAAGATGGTTTAACACAAGTCAACCCCTCACTAAAGAAAAAGACACAGGAGAAAGATGACAACTTTTGGATTAAGTCCTTGAGCAGCATGAGGGCATCAACTGTTCTCTACAAGTGAAGTCCACGTGCCTGAAGATGAATGGTTGTAGTGAATTGCTGCTATGGTACTAGTGATTTTGATGCGTCTATTGCTAGCATAATCAATGATTTCTTGAGTCTCAATCTTTTCAACTGTTTTCTCAAAATTCTGGTATTTGAAATTGTGCTATGACCATGAAAAGGTGGAGAACCATCTTTTTGGCACCTAGATTTCAGAGCTGCCAAGTCAACTTAGACTATTACTCAATTCTTCCTGATTATAAACCAATGATTCTGAATGCCTGTTCCATTTTAAATTCACTTTTGAGTTCATGAGAATAATTATAGTGCTTCCCTGGGTTTCATGAACTCACTACTCTCCTTTTCTAATACTACCATCTTAGAATTCACTGCTGTTTGGTGGGTCATGTGTGATGTGGGTTGGTAGAAAGGGCTGATGAAGCTGGTGAACTGGTTTGGAAAGCTGGGTGACACATATTTTGAAATGTTGTGAAAGGCAAAGTGGTATGACTTGCAGCTGGTCACACAGCAACTGGAAAATAACTGGAGTCTTACGATATCTGGTCTGCCAGCCTCTGCCACCAGATCATATGTAAACATTTGCTTAGGATACAGTCTCTTTCTTCCTCCCAATGCCTCCTCCCTTCATTCCTACTTCTCCCATACTGCACACTTGGAAAATGTCTGAAAAGAGAATAATTCTTAAGGGGTGTTTTTTAAAGGTGCTGGCAACACATGGCATGGTGAACAAAATAGAGTAGGGCAAAGATTCTTTCTGATGGAACTGACTTTCTAGTGTGATATGATGTGTCTTAGTCTGTCCTGTACTGCTGTGACAGAATACCTAAGACTGGGTAATTTTTAAGTACAGAAATTTATCTCTTACAGTTCTCAAAGCTGGGAAGTCGAAAATTGAGGGACTTGGATCTGGTGAGGGCCTTCTTGATGCATCATCCCAAAGTGGAGGGTGGAAGGGCAAGAGAGAGTAAGAGCAAGAGGGGGCTGAAGTCACTTTTACAACAAGCCCACTGTTGCGATAATCACCCTTTCCAGAGATAATGACATTAATCCATACATGAAGGCAGAGCCTCTGTGACCTAATCACCTCTTATTAGACCCCACCTCCC